ATGTGACTATATACTTGAGGTACGGGACAAACATTTTGATCTCTATTTGATCTCAGTCTGATTAAAAAGTTTAAACAGAGAACTAAAACATAATCACCTGTGTGGGTTTTTTTTTTTTAAATAGAAATATAATTTCAGGTTAAATACTCACCCTGCCCAATTTTGTGCCCTTTTATCTGGTTTGGACAAGCTCCAGGAAGTGTCATATCTACAAAGAAAACATGAATAAATAAGTATTGGTTTAATTTACTGTGAAGTAATTTAATTTCACTTGATATTTATTTTTCGGTATTTTCACTCGAGGAATAAATCAGTGAATACAAAATCCACTGGTAATACCCGTTTTTCCTATATTTTACATTTGACTCATCAAAAATCAATGAAAATAAACTTCGTGAAAAACAGCAAATATGTTTTGTTTTTCCACAAAAATTAATTCTAACTGAAATAAAGCATTTTACAGTAATTGGATGGTTGTGGTGGAATGCACATTCCAATATCATGTAAACAAACCATGTATACTACACATACAGTCACATGGGACCCACGACAACTTTGGCTCAAAATAGCTGACTGTATGGTGAAATTAATTTTTTTTTAATAATAAGCTAATTAATTAATGATATAATAGAATTGATCACCCTGCTAAAGATCTATTAAACAGTGAAAAATACGTCAAAATTAAAAATAATGTAAAATTTGAGCATAAACTAATTTCTGAATATGAACAGTTCTTGCCACAAAACATGTTTCTTAATCTGAGTAATTATTCAAAGTGAAAGGTCAAAAAGCAAAGGTCAATGGTGATGAAGACATTTCAAAATGGCTGCCATTTTATTTGTCAACTTTCACCCTCATTGTACCTGAAGCATTGATGTCTATATACACACCAGCTTGACGAACTTTGCGATGAATCAGGTAGACGATGAAGACGCACACCAGCATAAACACCACACATGCCACTATGAGTCCAACGTATAAGGCTATACCATCACCTGACCCCTTTTTGACTATTATAGAAAGAGAAAAATAGATAAATTTTACTCTTAATTGACGACAAATAGATTCAAATAAAGTTGACATACATGCAGGTGCACCAATAATCAACAGATGGACTAGACCATTAATGAATTAAGGGGTGACAGGATGGACTATACCATTAATCAAAGGGGTGACAGGATGGACTATACCATTAATCAATAAAGGGGTGACAGGATGGACTATACCATTAATCAATAAAGGGGTGACAGGATGGACTATACCATTAATCAATAAAGGGGTGACAGGATGGACTATACCATTAATCAATAAAGGGGTGACAGGATAAAATACTTTGTATTGTTTGCATTGATGAAATAAAAGGTTGGACAATTGAATGAAATCTTAACAACTTCTAAGTAACCAAAATAAATGTAACCACTAATTTTTATCAATTCAGCTCATGTCTGTGAAATTCAACAATTATTGTCTGTCGCCCTAGTATCGGGTTCTCGTACAAAATTACAAACACAGTTCCAAGGACAATATTCGCTGCCTACTCAGGGAACGTTTCCCCTTTTCCTAATTACCGCTTTCGATGACAAACTGTCGTTTATACTTCATTTATAAAACTTAACGCAATAACGAACTGTTGCAAACTATTCAACGGTGAAAATATTGACATGACGCGAATATCAGTAGTTAAAAGCCAAAGCTCGTCGATAACAGGGAGACATTTCAAGCTCCATTGTGCCTGTCAGAATAGATCAGTTTGTAGGAAATGATAGGAAATGAAAAGTCACATGACCTACCTTTGGGCTCCGTCAGATCGCTTTCTTGATGTTCAGCTCCTTCAATTCCAACTACTGTGAATGAAATTGAATACAAAATTACTTTTAAAAACCATTTTATGATGTAATATTGTTCATATTCTGTCAAAAGTGATAGTACAGCTGTCGTTTTTACAAATGTATCTGGGGATGTTTGATCCCAATTTACATTCTAATTTTTGAGTGTCCATGTCATTTTTTCCCTTTCACAAAATAATATCATTTTTCCTCAAAAATTTTAATCAACACCTGTAGACTATAGAAAAATCAAAAAAAATTTAGGAACATAAAATAAATTTGGAGGGAAAAATTATGGGACTCACAAGGTTCATTCACATGTTTTTTTTTCTTCAAAAAAACTGGATTTATGGATAATAAAAAAGATAATCTTGTTCGGAATTTTTTTTTTAATTTCAAAAAAAAAACCATGAATCTATGAATCGATAAAATTATGATAACATTTCTTTTACTAAATATGCAGTAAGCCAATACAATGCAATCAAAATGATCATTAATGGTGTCATCTGCAATTGACATTTTGGTTCAAATCATGTACAAAAACAGATTATAATCATAGTTCAAACTGATAACAATCTCTGGTAATTTTGGGATTTCAAAAATAAATACTGAAATTATGCCGAGTTGATCAAGGATGCATTTGACAATTTGAACTTGTGATCCATTACTTGGTCAGATAAATTTTAAATTACATTTTTTGAAAAATATAACTACAAAAACAACCTCTCATTAATTGTTCGACAAAATTCTCCTTAAAAACATTGTAAACAAGTCTGGAGAAAAATGAAAAAAATTTATTATCATTGTCTTCATCATCAAAACGACTTGAGAACATCTTTGATAGGGTCAAGAAGGAAGTTGACCTCAAGACGTAGCTATCAGGAGGAATCCACTAAAGCACCTCGAGATGAGCGTTCTTACAATGTAGAAGAAGAAAAAAATTCAATCATATATTCTGAAACGAGGCATAAGGACGTAGCTGACGCATGAGATTACTGAAACTATTCAAGGGTAATTACCGTAAATTGCGTCACTCCCACAAACAATCCAAGTTGTCACGAATAATCATGGTAAAAAAGGAAGTCTAATTGTGATGTGGGAAGGAACAGTATGATTGAAAAGTTCCTCAAGATTTTAATTCTTTTCACTGATACGATATCTGAAAGGACTTTCGGCGGTCATGATGGATATGCAAATGTTTACCATTCAACTAAAATTCAGATTAGTCTAATTAGCAGAATTGTTTTCCCGCCAAATTTCCATGCAACATTTTCTGAATTTTAATAAATTTTGCAATAATTTCTTCTTTAATTTTGGAACTAACTGACATGATTTCCCATTCTATGTGGATCAATATTGTTAAGAGATGACACAATTTGTTTTTGGTGTTCCAGCGTTGTGTAGCGTAGCGGATTTCATACATTGTTTGGTCAACTACAAATTTAACCCAGTGGTACAGAATTACTATGTCATTTTAAGGAATCTTTTTCAATAATACAAAAACTCACATCAAATTCTAACCGAAACCACAAGATATGTTTAAAAAGGTTGTTTTATATCTACATGTAAAAACTCACTTATCATAAATATCAGAAATAATGTCACAATCTAAGATAGATTTAATACTTAAAGAACAATAATAATGAGACTTTATTTATTCTTAATAAAATCTGAGGCATCTATTTTCAACCAGAGAGAAGAACAACATGGCATACTTGAGCTGAGGAAACATTGCATTCATTTTTGACAATTATCGATTAACTTGTACACGAGAAATTATTTGAGATGTCATAGTGTTCCAATTGAAAGCAGTGCATTCAGATATTCGTATGTTAAATTAGTAAAAAAAAGATTTTCTTTCATAGTGGCCACATTCTGTCAAACATAACAGAAAAAAAAAAGTTCCCTGTAAATAATTTTTTTTTTTTGAACATTCTCAAGGACAATGAATTTGGGCTTAAAAATAATTTGAACATACTTTTTCACTTTAAGCAGCGCATGTACTTCCTGGTGACAATAATTTTTTATATTTTGTTTACAATAGAAGTTAGCTCAATTGTGTTCGATAATTTGATGCAATTTGCACTACAGTAGGAACTGTCAAAATCTGATGTTTTTTTCCAAAACTGATCATAGCTTTTACCCTCCTTTACCCCCTCATCCTCCCAAGGTGGCATTATTATTCAAGCTAGTTACTCAACTAATAAAAGAATTTTTTTTATAAATATATATATATATATTTATAAAAAAAAAATTATATTAAACTTAAATGCTTGTTGAAATGTTCTATTAGAAGATCATCTGTCATATAAATATAAACCAAATTTTATTTTACTATACACTGAATTGTTTAAATATTCTGACCATAGACATGCTTCTGTCTATTCATGTAAGCGCATGCGTTAAAGCTCTGCTTTAAATGTGACGAATGAAAATGGTATTAAATACGTACATTTGCACAAACCATCAGTACAATTTCGCGATTCCATGTCTAATCCTTTGCACAATTTGCCACTGTTTTGCGGCCGTGGATTACTGCATGTACGACTACGTATATGGTTGCACTCCGGACTACAATTTGACCACTCATTCCAAGATGTCCAGCTTCCATCAACTGTAAATAAAACAGATTTTATGTATTTATTTAAAAAAAAAAAAAAAAAAAAATGATAGAGGGCAGTAGAAAATAGCACGATCAACTATGCACACATCTGCCTCAGTTCAAGTAACCCCACTTTAGCGATGTGTCTGGCAACACTGTTATCTGTTTTGGAGGTAATTAATATCACGGCAAAACATCAATAATTTCCCATTATCGTGTAAATCAAACGTCTGTATCAGTTCACACTACCAAGTTGTTTTTTAACAATGAAGATGGGAAGATCACGTACTCAGTGCCGCTAAAACACCGCAAAGATTTTCATTGTGCAATCTTTCTTGTTATTGGTTTTTACACACAGTATTGTCGACATTGCCAAATGGTTTCAGGTTTTTATGTGCATTTAATTTGAATAAATACAGTATTCAAGTTTCGATTAGAATACTATAACCGACTAACCATATTTACTTTTAAAATGTGTTTATACAAATTTACTTGTATTATGTTCTTGTATTCGAATAACATTGTGCTGAAAACAACATCTTTAATCACTCCATCGCATATTTCATCAAGTACCGAAGTGTGTCGTAAATATGACAAGATCACAATAACGTCAAATAGCCTGCAAGTAACGACTTTTGCTTGGAAGAAGATAGAACCGATCATGCTGTAGGCAAATATGTCTCCCACGAGCGTAAAAAATGATTGCTTTCTCTGACAAGCGAGCAACTTCAAGCTACGTACATATAAGTGTAGATGATGGGATGCTGAGAAAACCAATTTCTTTTGAGTACGACTCGCAACTTTGTGTCAGAATGTAGGACTTCTGGCGACATTAAATTGCGATAATTACGAGTCACGATTTGTCACCGACTGTTAACACAGTAGGATTCACACATCGAGACGATCACAAATAATGTCCATCTTTAAACTGACAACTGTTTTATTGCTTTTTTTTTCTGGATTCAGGACTGCAATTTCACCGTTTTATGCAATCTGATTAAAATCTGATGTAGTGTACGGGCTTTAATTATTTTGGCTATAAACTTGTTTTAATTTTATTTTTTTTACTTTTGTTATTAATGCCCTTTTATTTTATTATTTTACTTTGATTTTGATTTTTTTAATTCCGCCCTACCTACATCTGATCCGACGCCTATGTAAGTCCCGTTCAAATCTCGCGTAAGTAACAGCCAATCACAGTCCCCCTTTTATACAGGCTGTCGGTTGCTTACTTTTCAGTGTATACGGGCAATTCTTCTGTACATTTATATTTTGCCCACTTGAATAAACCATTAATAGAAAATTGCTAGTATATTTTTATTTGCAAAAGAAATTCCACAGCATTTTACAATTTTTGTCATTTCATTGAATATTTTTTTCACTTCCAACAAATGTGTACACTTCCAGATACATCTTCGCCAGCCAAGGTTCGTTCATTCAGTCATCGCTTCAATTTTACATCACTGAGCATAATTATC